TTTTACCATGATGTAAAGAAATTTCACTTAAACGCTTTGAGAGTGTGCCCCACGGCTGTGCCCCACGGCTGTGCCCCACGGCTGTGCCCCACGGCTGTGCCCCACGGCTGTGCCCCACGGTTGTGCCCCATGTCCGCGGCCGCCGCGGCGTCACTACACCACAAGGAGATACCCCCGGGCCCAGAGGCCGCGTGCCCGCGTGGCCTTTACACCGGCGGCCGCGCTGTGGCTGCAAAGCCCTGCACAGCACTGCAAAGTGGCTCTACACTGGAAGAGGAGGGGGTAGGGGGGCTTTTGTCTGTGCCAGAATGGGCGAGATAGTGCTGGATATGATTGTACTCCCTCTAGCCCCCTCACCCCCTAAAAAGCGAAATTGAAAAAAAAATGATAAGTGAGACAGGAACATGTCGATCGGTCAAATGGGTTTTGGTTCCAGATCGAATGGATTATAAGCATCGGATGGTAATTTCATGTCCTCACCCTTAGAACCTTACGAAGTATTTTGAGCATACATACGTACAAACTAATTGTTATACGAAGAAATAGTTCGTAAATTACGAAGTATTTTGTTTGTAAGCTTATGTATGCTCAAAATACTTTGTTCTAACAAAGTGCTTTGCTTTGTAACGCCTGAAATAGTTTGTATGGTTTCCTCAGTGCTAACTACACTAGTGTTTTTTTTTTTTGTGGTGGGTTTTCGAGGCGAATAACGTTACCAAAATGGTGCTTTGTGAGCTTGGTGTGGCATTGGCGTGCCGAAGACTGCGATTCGATGAAGTCGATTCTGCGAGAAGTCCCCTCACAGTGCCGTGGACCGCTCCGGGCGAGCCGAGGCAGCGGCCAGTGGGATGAATTATTGGTCATGCCCAGTGGCGTAGCATCGCATCGCGTCGCGTAGCATCGCGTCGCGCAGCATGGCGCATTGTGTGGTCGACCCCGGGCATCGACCTGGCTGCACTGAAAAAAAAGTCTAGTAACGATAACCAGAATCCTGGTACCAAATACCAGACTGTCTGATAGAATATAACTCAACTAGAATTCTGGTAAAAAATACTAAACTGTCTAGTTGGCCTCAGTCTAGTAAACCGTACCAGATTTATAGTTATCCTCACAATGCCGCCAGGTCCCCTTCTGGTAGTTTTTACCAAACATCCTGGTTAGTTAATGTGCTTACAAAACTGAAGTAAGAAGTCCAAATTTAATAAAATATTTTTTCGTAGTGATGAAACCTGATGTGACGTCGATTTCGTTAACGAACAACCTCTGAATTGTTTTTTTCCCTCCTCCTCCTCTCCTCCGGATTCGAACCGGGATCTCACACTTGTGAGACGGGCACGTTACCACTGCGCCACCACGTCGCCTGTGGGTCGAGGGGATCCCCACCAGGTGACTCTCTACGTGTCTGGCTCAGGGAAATACTCCCAGTGTTTCTTTCGGATTTAAGACTCCGAAAATAACGAAACCGGTTGCAGTTTACTTTTTGACACCCGAACATTTCAATTGAAACGAATATTTCGAAGTTTTACGTATGGTGCCAATTACGGAACAGTCTGGTAAAATTAACCAGGATTATTAACCAGACACCTGGTAAATGTCACAACACCCGATCTGGTTACTGCAACTGATCATCTGGTGAGAGTTACTAGGATTCTCGTATGAGTAACTAGTACTCGTTTAACTAGGATTGGTCTGGTACTTTTAACCAGACTTTTTTCTCAGTGTGCCAGCTCGCCAGCCCCGCCGGCGGTGGTGGCACATGTCCAGGCCGCGGATATAGGCAAAAGGAAGCACTCTGCCGCCGGCAGCCAGGCCGAGCTGTCAACCCGCCCGCGATCCCTCCTGAATAACTTTGCAGCGACCAGACAGTGCTCTCCGGTTATCAGGGACCGTCCGTAAAGCAGGTGTCTCTCTCGCACCTCTGCGGTCGGCGGCACCAGAGGGGGGCGCCGCGCCAGAGAGAGAGAGAGAGAGAGAGAGAGAGAGAGAGAGAGAGAGAGAGAGAGAGAGAGAGAGAGAGAGAGAGAGAGAGAAGGCGCGAGACCGTCCGGGCCGCTGGAGCGCGCTGGAGTTTGCGCGGCCAAAGTCCCCGGCCGCATGGCGCCGCATAGCGCCAGACTAGTCCGCGGGTTTGGTTTATTTTGCAGTGCACGCGCCGCCGCGTCTGTCAGCAAGTCTGGAGGGACGTCTGCCCCGCCGGCGCGCACCGCGATGGACGCGGCCAGAGAGAGAGAGAGAGAGAGAGACTGAGAATGAGTGACAGATAAAGAGAGAGACGCAGACAGATGCACATTGTCGAGTGGCAGCGTCCGGATTTCTGACTCGCAAACACGCTCCCGAATGGTAAAGCTCGCCATTGTGGACGAGACCACACACACACACACACACACACACGCACACACACACGCGAACACGCACAGAATGAGGGATAGAGAAAACAAAATGCAGACGAGGCGGTGGCTGCGTCGCGCCGTGTATGTGTTGTCACAGTGTGCCAATCAGGTGTACCTCCTCGGGGCTCTGTGCGTCACGGCGCCACACGGCGCAACATCACAGCGCGCGCCCCCCTAATGGAGTCACCGCCCCGCCCCGCTGCGGTCGAGGTGGCGCCCCTTGGAGCTGGAGGAGGCCCTCGACTCGACGCTGACCAAAACGCGTCCTTGGAGGGCGGTATCGCCGTGCTCCAGCTCCTGGCTGGCTCCTCGTGCAGACTGATTCGTCGCGCTGTCTCTGTCGCACCCGCACGCGGCACGCCCCGTGAGTGCGAGAGAGACAGCTGCTGACAGTGCTGACGTCACCTGGTGGTGCCGCCATTGGCCCCGTCCCGTTTCCGACCTGCCGCCCCGCCGCCCCACGCCCCAGTCAGTCCCGCCGCGCCGCTGCGCCACTGCCGGGTTATCATCGCCGTCATGATGGGAATATCGCTTGGCCTCCAAGTTCGGCAGGGCGGCGCCAGTGGCGCCAGCAGCGCCGGGGGAATTTGGCCACGTTGACGGGGCAGTTAGAACTGCCTCGGACGCTTCAAGGTTCGCCCATTATTGCCATCTGGTCTCCTCTCTCTCGCTCTCTCTCGTTTGACCGCCTGCCTTTGCACTGTCGAAAGGGCACTCACAGTGACAAAAACATCGTAGGGCACTTGTGTGTTTGCGACACTGCAACGGTAGTCCAGTTGGTTAGGTCATTACCTAGTCACAAGTGCGCTGAGAGGCTGGCAATGCCCCGTTTGGTTATGGATGGCGGGTGAGGATTTTTGCCGGGGTGGGGCGCGGGGCCATGGCGCCCTGGTCGTCATGGTTCACATCCTCCACGCCGCCCCCGCGGCCCCCGCCGCCCCCACCGGGGCCCCGCAAGCCCTCATCCCGCTTTGACGACTTTAGGGGGGCCCAGACTGAATTTATCTTTTATCGCATGCTTGCCGGGACAAAGCAATATGGGCCGCTTTTGTGTGGCGAACTAACAGACAGACGGACGGACGGACGGACGGACGGACAGACAGACAGACAGACAGACGCACGGACATAGGCTGGCTGGCGGACAGACAGACAGACAGACAGACACGTGGACAGACTGGCGGACAGACGGACCTACAGTGTGGAAACATTCATTTCGGCGAGGAGCGTGTCGGCAAAGAACGACCACTTGCAGTGCCTCGGATTTGCTTCAATCAGGGCGGTATTGGGAGCAAACACAGGTGGAGGAAGTGTGTGTGTGTGCGTGTGTGTGTGAGCATATGTGAGCGTAGGTGTGTGCGTATGTGTTTACACGTGTCCAACGTTTCCTCGTTTCGCCATCTGCATGTTTTCCGACGGATGAAAAATGAAGAGTTTGGCTGGCGGCGGGGCTGGCGGGGCTCGCGGGGCTCGCGGCTTGCAGGGGGGCGTTGCTGATGATGGCCATCGAGGGGCCATCTACTGCGTGCATCCCTTTTTTTTTTCGCCTGGCAGTATGTTTATCTGTCTAACTTTTTTTTCGATGGCAGCCATTCAAAGAATCCCATCTGCGGACTTTGATATGGACGTGGCAACCCCAGGACGAATTGGGTTATGACGTCACAATTGGCGGACTGGATTTTATTGTGCATCTGTCAATGATTTTTTCTCGTTTGATGTCCATTCTTTTTTTTGTGTTTGGTTGGGAAAGTTGGCTGGGCGTTGTACGGGCCATGGCGGTTTCCGAAGGCGGCCGTGGTTCGAGCGAGGGTTCGAGTCCCCCCGGCGGCGCGCCGCATTTTCTCGCCTCCTCGCTCGTCGCTTCGCTTCCCCGAGATTTAGGCCGGCTCCTTATTGGCGTGGTTACGAGGCAAACATCGTTCTGCAGAAGCCGAAGCGTCCGCCCCGACGGCCTGAAGCCAAGCCCGAAGCCAAGCCCGAAGCCAAGCCCGAAGCCAAGCCCGAAGCCAAGCCTGTCTGTCCGGCATTACCAGTCAGCCAACTATCTTTGTAACGTGGCGGCGCACTATAAAAGTCGTAGATCGAGGGGTCTTCACCTTCACCACTGATAAATGTTGAATGCACATTATGGAGAAAATACTCAATGTTACGGTGGTGCAACTGATACCAGGGTTCTTTGAAAAGATAATTTATCATTTTGATAGATTTGTTTTGTATTATGGAGAAAGTCTCCACCATAGTGTTGGTTCAGTCTCGTGCCGTAAAGCATTCACAGTGGGTAGCCGGCGTGAAGAGCGAGAGCAACAAACGCTCCGGCCGGGTATTCGAACCCGGGCTTTTTGGCTGTGAACCAGGCGGAGCGGCCGGCCTAAAGTGCGCGCTTAATCCACGGGCTCTGCTCGGCTCTGGGGCGGGACGTCGGGACGTCGACGTTGGGACTCTGCGCTGGGGCGGGGCGGGGTGGGGCGGGGCGGCCGCAGAGGGCTGCCTCCCGCCGGCCCGACTAGCTGGAGCTGCAGTGCACTCTGAAAAGTCTGCAAAGCCTTGATAACTATACAAAGACTTGTTTACAGTGCCACGAATTCTGATCTTGTCCTTTTCTCTCTGTTGCAGGGGTTTCGGCAAGCAAGGCTTCCAGTGCCAAGGTAAGACACCGCCACGCCGTCCGGAGAGCAATCCATTGGTGGGGTCGCACGTTCGGTTCGAGTCCCATTTAGCGACTCTGGAGCTCGAAACGCGTCAAGAGTTTTGGCCGCCTCCGCCGGTCTCCTGGCCCACTGTGCGGCGGGCCGCCATGGACAGTCCGCGCTCGGTGCTTCGTGGGGCTCTACTCGACGCCATGCTCCACCGCCTTTGTGCCTGCCTGTACAAAGGGCCGCCAGCCCTTACGGTGTGGCCCCGGCCTGGCCCCCGGGAAAGATGCATGAGGCCGAAGGTTCGAGACTTGGATCCAGATTTTGGGGCTGGCTCCTGTCATCTTTAAGCTTGCATGAGAGCCGCGCAGTTGCTCTACAGGAGGGGGCGGGGGGAATTTTAAATACAAGCCCCGCTGGGGCCCCGGTCGGGGGACGGGGTGATTTTGCGAAGTATTAAATTGAGTGAAGATGGCATCTACGGACCCAACTGCCGGGCCACACGGTGCCGGGCCGTGGGAGCGGGCTAGGACCGCCAGGCGCCGCCAGGCCGCTACCCTGCCCTTGGCTTACCTGTGGTGTAAATTCTCATCGGAGGAAGACCTCCACCCCCCCCCCTCTCCTTCCCGCCACCTGCTCGTGACGGGGCGGCGCCGCGGAGTTTCGACTCGGTTCACTTACTCGCCGAAGAATATCATTGGTATTGGAATTTTTGAAATAGCTGGAGCGGGACTCTGGAGCTCAAAACGCGTCTAGAGTTTTGGCCCCCAGCGCCGGTCTTCTGACCCACTGTGCTCCGTCCGGGGTGCCTCTGCCTGAACCCCGCTTGGCGTCTGACACGGAACTGCCCCACCTACCTCACACCAGTCTTACTTTCTCATATTTTTTTTCAGGGAGTGGGAGGGGAAGGGGTCGGGAAGCGCACTGTTTCCACGCTCGAATCATCAAATTTTCATCCTGAGACTGGGCGCGCCTCCATACAGGCGAGCGCACACACACTCGGACACACACACTCGCTCTCTCTCTCTCTCTCTCTCTCTCTCTCTCTCTCTCTCTCTCTCTCTCTCTCTCTCTCTCTCTCTCTCTCTCTCTCTCTCAGACACACACACAGACGCGCACACTTACTCAACACACGACGCGGGGCGCGGCGGGGCGCGGGAGGTCTGAATTATTCCTCCGGTGTGTCAGTGCCGGGAGTGCTCGGGGACCGTCGCTAAACGGGGTGGATAAGGAAAGTCTGCCTTGCCTGCCCAGCCCTGCCCTGCCGCCTCCATTCCAACCGATTCGATCGCGTGTGAGCCGATGATTGGGTTAACTAGAATGACCTTCCCTGGGGGGGCTGCCTCCGCTTCCAGCCGTGGTGTGTGTGTGTCTGTCTGTCTGTCTGTCTGTCTGTCTGTCTGTCTGTCCGTCTGTCTGTCCGTCCCTCAGTGCGATGTGCGTGAGAGCGGCAGTGTGTCCGAGAACGCGTAGGTCTGAGTGCCCGTGTGTGTGTGAGTGTGGGAGGGAGTGAGAGACTTCCTTTGCATGACAGAGAAAGGCACCCCGCCCGCATATCTATCGTCGCACCTTGGTCCCCTCTGCGCGTGACTTGTGCGTGAGGCAGGCGGGGCGGGCGGTCGTCTCTGTCGCGCCCCTCAGGGACGCCCCGCGCCCCGCCCCACAGTGGGCCAGAAGACCGGTGAGGCGGCCAAAATCCTAGACGCGTTTTGAGCTCCAGGGTCGCTAAACAGGGCTCGAAGCGAACGTGTGACCCCACCAATGGATTCCTCGTTCGGAGAGCAGTCCATTGGTGTGGTCATACGTTCGGTTCGAGTCCCGTTTAGCGACTCTGGAGCTCAAAACGCGTCTAGAGTTTTGGCCGCCCCCACCGGCCTTGTGGCCCACTGTGCGCCCCGCGCGTGCGACGGAGATGCCTGGCCCCTTGAGACCGAGGCGGCCCGACGCGGCCCGAGGCTGCAGACTGATTCCGAGAGTCGTTTTCGTCGCTCGATCTCCCTACCTACCCCGTGAGTGCGAGAGAGACGGGGCGACGACTCTCGGAATGAGTCTGCAGGCGGTGGAGGGCGATGGAGGGCGGTGGGGAGGATCAAGGCGGACGACTGGATTCCGGGTCGAGGACGGCGGCCTACTTGACGGCCTAGGCGGACCTCGACGAGGACGACGTCGACTCGATAACGCGGACGTCGGCGTCCTCATCGAAAAGGAGATGTCGGCCGAGCCTCTGCGAAGTGAGGGGGAAGGGGGGGGGGCGGAGAGCGCAGCCGCAGAGCAGAGGGAGAAGAAGAGGAAATGTAGACGAAGACGAGGTCGCGCGGGGCGGGGCGGGGCGGGGCGGGGCGGGGCGGACGCCGAGGTGACTCGGTGCTCTCTGCTGCCTGCCCCTTACCCGAGGGCCTTTAGCTTCTACCGTGTTTTCCTTTTCTAATTCGCCCTGCCCTTTTTTGCCGTCGGTTCAGCGCTCCTGGCGCGGCGTGGCGCCATAAGACGGCTTCAACTTGAGCCGTGTGGAATTTAACGCTCGAGTTTGTTGCGTCGGCGGGGCGGGGCGGGGCGGGGGCGTCGGGCCATTGCCGCCTGGGGACTCTACCCCCACGGGGGCCCTGGTGGCCGCTCCGCCGGCGCTGGAGCAGTCAAAGTTGTCTGAAAGTTTAGATGAGGGGCTGCAAATTAGGCCAAGCATGGGCACCGAGCATGGCGACCAAGGCACGGGCACCAACCGCGCGGCCACCATGGCCTCGTGGTCCTCGTGGTGCATGGGGGACTTGCGCGTCGACGCCCGCGTCCACTCGTGGTCCGCCAAGTCCACGAGGTGTTCGGCGAGCTCGGAGTGCAAAGTGCCCCGCCACTCTGCGGCGCCGCAGTGCCTTGGGGGCGCCCCGGGGGGCCGCCGAACTCGCCGTGCTGTCCTGCCGCCCCCGAAGCAACATGTGTCTCCGCCACGACTCAATCCTGCTCCCCTTCCTGGCCGCGCCACTGGCTGAGGTTAGCCGGGGCCGGCCCGGATGCAGAGACTCTATGCTTTGCTAGGCTCCGACGCGCGGTGCGCAGTGCTTCTTTTGTGCGCGTCTCTCTCTCTCTAATTCTCTATCTCCCTCCCCCCTCTTTTGTCCTGGTCGGTTCGCCGTGCTTCCTTGCCTCCTCCCCGCGAGCAGGAAATGTTGAAAATACCTGAGGTCACGCCCCGCCCCGCCCCGCCCCGCCCCGCCCCGCCCCGCCCGACTCAGGGCTGCGCTCGCTCCGCTCCCCGGACGGGATGCCTGCTCGCGAAACAGTCGAAATGCTTTTGGCCGCTTTGTGCTGTGGCCGCTTTCATTTGGGGTTCCTGCTTCCCGACGCGGGGCGCGCCGAGGAAGGTCGAGGTTTTGTGTGGCCAAGTGGCGCGCGGACTGCAACACGGAGGAGGAGATGCAGGGATCGTCATCTTGGCGGAGCGGCCGAGTCTCGCGCACCGCGGCGCACAGTGGGCCAGAAGACCGGTGGAGGCGGCCCAAAATCTAGACGCGTTTTAAGCTCCAGAGTCGCTAAATGGGACTCGAACCGAACGTGTGACCCCACCAATGGATTCCTCGTTCGGAGAGCAATCCATTGGTGGGGTCACACGTTCGGTTCGAGTGTCCTATTTTGCGACTCAGGAGCTCAAAACGCTTCCAGGATTTCGACCGCCTCCACCGGTCTGCTGGCCCACTGTGCGCCGCCTTACTGCTTCGCTGCCTCCGCCCGTGTGTGCGGACTGTGCTTTTTCTCGGCGACGTCCTGAGAGACATGTCCTTGTTCTTGTCGCGTGCGCGTCTCGTGCGTCTGCCCCGCGTTCTTTGCTCGTCTGCCGCCGCGCGCTGCCGCCTCGTGTTCAACTTGCAAGTTGGTCTCCGTGCACCTCCGCTAACGAGTTGACCCGCGCTGAGAAGGAATCTCTTTTTGTGTAGACATGGGCACTGTCAGAGGCATTCGGAAAGGACTCCCTGCTTTAACGAAGACGGCGAGTGAGCACTGGAAATAACGAATCGACCATGGAGGGAAAAATAAAAAAGAACTTTGGATGGCACTTCAGCAACAGTGTAGAAAAAATGAAGCTAAATAATTGTGTTTTTCTGAATTTATATTTTTTGTCGCGGTGGAAATCACTCCCGCCGTATAAAAACGATTGTGGATTACGATCTCTGGAGAGCGGCAAAAAGGAGAGACGATAAAGTTTTGGAGATGAGCTGAGGGGCGGGGCGGGGCGCACCTTCTCATGACACGCCGACGTCTTGCTTTGCCTGTCGTTGACGCTCCGCCTGAACAAAAGAGTAGCCCGCAGCGACCTCATCCTCCACCCCGCTCTCTCTCTCTCTCTCTCTCTCTCTCTCTCTCTCTCCCTCCCCCCGTCATCTTTCGCCTCTTCTTCCCACCCCTTCGTCCCCCTCCACTCCATCCCGTTCGACAGGGAGGGGGCAACCCATCTACAAGCCGCCACGGATGCCTGGGGCGCTGTGCACAGCCTCGTGGGGACAGAGAGTACGAGGAAAAAAGAGGAGTCTATTCCATCTTGTCAATATGGCGCGCGCGGGCCCGGCGCGCCGGCCCGGCGCGCCGGCGCAGTATTTTATATTTGTGTTTCTATTTTCATTTTGGCGACGCGAGGGAGCCAACCTTCCATTCCCTTCCATTGACACGCAAATGCGGGGGGAAGGAACGCACGTGATCGCTCTCCCAATCGGCCAGAACTAGAAACGCTTTTCGAAGCTTTATTTTTTCTCACTTTATTTTTGCGCTGCTGAGTTTCTCTTTGAAAGAAAGAGAAGAGGCACCCTGCACAAGGCTTATGCAGCTCGGCGCCGCATATTTCTGCATTCGACAGTCTGCAGACTGATTCCGAGGGTCGTTTTCGTCGCTCTGTCTCTCTCGCACTCACGGGGCGTCCCGTATGGGTGCGAGAGAGGCAGCGCGACGAAAGCGACTCTCGGAGTCAGGCTGCTGGCGGTCGAGAGTGTTATCGCTCTCATTCCGTTGGCTGGAGGACGCGGTCGAGTGCACTGTCTGTCAAGGGCCGGGGGCGGCCGGGCCGGGGCTGAATCGTCGACTTGGCGGCCTTGGCGCCTTGACGCGGCGCACCTACTTCTTCAGTCCCCTTTTTCGCTCGCCGTGCCTTGCACGTTGTTCCTGTTTTTCTTTTTATATTTTGCAATTTTTGTCTTTCTTTCTTTCTTTTTTTTTTCGTTTTGTGGTTTGTCGGGGCACAGCCTCGACGCGGCAGTGTGGCGGGCGACCGTGTATTAGTACGGGATCAGCTAATAGCGAGCCAATTAGCAACTCCAACGCAGCTCTGTGTGCGAAAGCACACACACTCACACACACACTCACACACACAAACACGTGTGGATGCTGATTGGCACAGCGCCAGCAGTCCGTTTCCAGACGCAGATTTGGCATGCAAATTTTCCGCCGAACCATTCCATGCCATTCCATTCGCAGTCCGCGCCACTGTCTGTCGTTTTGGCCGCTCTTGCGCTCGGCGTTCGTTTGGGGAAAGCGCCCGCCCGCACAGTGTGCCAGAAGACCGGTGGAGGCGGTCGAAATCCCGGACGCGCTTTGAGCTCCAGAGTCGCTAAATGGGACTCGAACCGAGCGTGAGACCCCACCAATGGATTGCTCTTGAAACGAGGATTCCGTTGGTGGGGTCACACGCTCGCTTCGAGTCCCATTTAGCGACTCTGGAACTCAAAACGCGTCCGGGATTTCGACCACCTCCACCGGTCTTCTGACCCACTGTGCGCCGTCCCGGGAAAACAAGGAAGTCTCCGGCAGAGAGGATGCTGGTAATCATTGCGCGGGCCCCATGGACGCGGTCGCGCACGAGCGCACGCGGGCGGAGGAGAAGAAGACCGCCAAGTTGGGGGCGGAGGCAACCGGAGGCACGTCAGCGGCTTGAATGGGATATTCGGTTGTGCCGTATCTCTGGGGCGCCCTTCGCTCACCGCCCCCGCCTTCCCCCTCCCCTTTTGTCTTCCCCGCTCCCCCCTTCGCCGCCCCTGGCCGGCTTTGCGCCCTCCGCAAATAGACAACGAGGAGATATTAAAAGTGTGTTGCACGCCGTGTTGCACGCCGTGTTGCACGCGCGCCCCGCCTCGCCGGGGGTCGTCCGTAAACGGCGTGCGAGATTGGCCGGGGGCGTGTGGAGCCGCCCCGCCCGGGCCCCGCCCGGCCCCCGGCCCCGCCAGGCCCCGCCAGGCCCCCGCCGCCAGGCCCCGCCAGGCCCCGCCAGGCCCCGCCAGGCCCCGCCAGGCCCCGCCAGGCCCCGCCAGGCCCCGCCAGGCCCCGCCAGGCCCGCCAGCCCGCCAGGCCCCGCCAGGCCCCGCCAGGCCCGCCAGGCCCCGCCAGGCCCCGCCAGGCCCCGCCAGGCCCCGCCAGGCCCCGCCAGGCCCCGCCAGGCCCCGCCAGGCCCCGCCAGGCCCCGCCAGGCCCCGCCAGCCCCGCCAGGCCCCGCCAGGCCCCGCCAGGCCCCGCCAGGCCCCGCCAGGCCCCGCCAGGCCCGCCCGCCCCGCCACGCCCCGCCAGGCCCCGCCAGGCCCCGCGCCGCGGGTTTGCGTAACTAACCTGCCCTTGCCTCGGCCGTCTTTAATGCACTTATGATTAAGGGCTCGTCCCTCGGGGCCCTGCGCTGGCCAGGGCCTGACGGGGCAGAGAGGCGGCGCTGTCCGGGCCGGTACATGCGGGTTACGGTTACGGTGGGCCGAGCGTGGAGAAAAGGACCAGTTCGGGGAGCTGGACGCGGTCACTGTAAAAAATTCCGTACTTTTGTACGGAAATGGTACAGAAAAATATAGTACGGAGGTACGAAGAAAAGTACGGAACGTTCCGTACTTGCTCCATATGACCCCATGTAAATGGGTACGGAAAAAAGGTACGGAACGTTCCGTAGTTGGCAAGTACGGACGGTCCAGGCAAATTATTGACCAGACATGTTCCGTACTTTTTCCGTACTTTTTTCTCACAGTGGTCGAAGCGGAGCAGCGCAGCCGAGTCGTGTTGCGGGTTTAGGAGGAAGGACTGAGGAAGCTCGAAAAAACGAGAACTCTGCGGAGAAGTCTATCCGCCTCCTCTTCCACTGTCAAGAGTAAAAAATCTTGGAAATGATCAGAGAACTTGATTTTGTGTGAGATTATGACAGGTAGTAGCACAAATTTTGACCCTTTTAAAAACGAAGCCGCCGGAGCTTTGGATGGCACTTTCCGGGATCGTGTAACTTGGGTATTTTTAACAGTGGCGCTGTTTTGTTTTGTAATGCCTCTTCCCTCACAGCGCGTACTTTGGCGAAGCTGACCTCGCCCTTGCGACCCGCCCTCGCCCTTGCTGCGGCCCCTCCGGCGTGGCTTCTTCGTGTTTCATCCGAAACCAAACACGCTGGTTGCTCCGCTTGTCCGCCCTCGCCTCGCACAGTGGATTTGCCAGAGGGCCGGTCCAAATCCCAGACGCGTTTTTAGCTCCAGAGTCGTTGAACAGGACTCGAACCAAACGTGTGACCCCACCAATGGATTCCTCGTTCGGAGAGCAATCCATTGGTGGGGTCACACGTTCGGGTAGAGTCTCATTTAGCGACTCTGGAGCTCAAGACGCGTTCGGGGTTTTGACCGCCTCCCCTCGCAGCACAGCACTAGCAGTGTAGGCGACTGGCTCGGCGGAAAGTAAACCCGCTCCGTTTTTCCTGTGCCGTGGCGCCGTGGTCCGGACGGAGTTGAGTTTCCATTTTTCCCTTCTCGACGTTTTCGGAATATTACCGCCAAGCTGCCTGCCTGCTGACGGCGCTGGCGGGGCTGGCGGGGCGCGCGGAGGGCGGCCGCCAACCCTCGACTCGACTTAGGCCCTGCCTCGGAGGACTGGAGGACGCCGCCCGAGGCACGGCGCGGCACGGCGCGGCACTGTTGCTGTGCCTGATAAGGCATAAGGTGGGCGCTGCGGCGCTGCGTGGCGCTGCAGCTGTTGCCATACTTGCCCATTGTAGTTTCCCCGGCGGCACCACTCTGTAAAAAAACAGGTCTCTGTGAATACTCACCCCCAACTAATTTAGCACTTTGTCATGCAGCGCAGCTTACGTAAGTTTACGAGCGTGCCGAAGCTACGCCCGCAATTTAATGCGTGATGGCATCTTGTGTGCAAGCTCACGTTGAAGTGTGCTTAGTACAACACAACCAACCGGTTAGCAGTGTGTTGGCGTGTTCCGGAGCGACCCGGGGCGACGACAAGGAGAAGGAGCCCTTAGAGTGGCGCGGGCGCACTTCCCTTGGCGGTGCACTGGAGAGTCCTGGAATCGCCTGGAACGCTGGAGTCCAGTGCACTCCAGGACGCTAGCGCAGCCGCATCGGCAGGGTGGAAAGGGGGGGGGGAGAGGCTTGAAACGGGGTGGAAATTAAAGTGGCGGGTGATTATCGAAAAGTGGGGTGGCCAAGGAGGGCGAGGTTAGTAATTTAGCGGCGGCCCCCGGGGCGTCCTGGAGCGGCGTCCTGGAGCGGCGTCCTGGAGCGGAGCCTACAGGCCGCCCACTCCATGCCGCCGGATGCCCCCCTCCCCCTCCCCCTCCCCCTCCCCTCCCCCTCCCCATGCCACTCCAGGCCGCACGGCATCGACCACGGGAGCGCAGACGCCACGGTCCATAGGACCATCCTGCATTCATCCGTGGCGTGGCGTGGCGTGGCGTGCCGCGGGGCTGCGATGCACGGAGCAGACAGGCGGTGCACTGTCAACGCTCGAGGCGGGGGAGAAAATGGCAATACTCCTTTGGCGGCGGATTCAAACTCGATTTCCTTTAGAGGGACCGAGTCATTATTCTCGCTGGCTTGACGTCTGCTTGTTTGTCCGTATCGGTTTGTGGACTTGATCGGCTCCGCGGATGATTCGAAGGAATGGAAAAATGTAGTATTTTTTCTGTCGAGTATTTTTTTTTTAAATATAAGAGGCAATGGTGTGGTGACGCAATGAGTTTTGTGTATTTTAAAACAACTGTTGTCAGAACCTTTCGGTCGTTTTAAAATTGCCTCGAGAACTCTGTTGTTTTTTCCTTTTCTCCAGTCGTAGTTATTGTTTTCCCGGTGATCGATTTTCAAAGAATGCTGGTAACTGTTGCTGTCGCTGGCGGGCGGCGCGGGCGGCCCACCCCTTCCCCTCCCCCACCCCCTTTTCCGGGCCCCACGGTGTGCCTGCGCCGTCTTGGCCGCGCTCGCCGTGCTGGGCGACTGTCAAAACAAACATGGACGAGACGAGATTGGTCGAGCCTCGTGCAAATAGCGCCGCAGCGCGCCGCAACGCGTTCCAAATCCCCCTTTTTATTTTGGGCCCCTCATTTCCTCGCCCAGGACGCACAGTGGGCCAGAGGACCGGTGGTGGCGGCGGTCAAAACCCCAGACGCGTTTTGAGCTTCAGAGTCACTAAATGGGACTCGAACCGAACGTGTGACCCCACCGATGGATTCCTCGTTCGGAGAGCTATCCATTGGTGGGGTCGCACGTTCAGTTCGAGTCCCATTTAGCGACTCTGGAGCTCAAAACGCGTCCGGGATTTTGACCGCCTCCGCCGGCCTTCTGGCAAATCCACTGTGCGACAGTGGTCACGCGCTTCCGCCTCTAATTTCTCCTCTCCTCTTCTGTTGCAGTCTGCAGCTTCGTGGTCCACAAGCGATGCCACGAGTACGTGTCCTTCACGTGTCCCGGCGCCGACAAGGGCCCCGACTCCGACGTAAGTTGGCGACAGTGTGCGCGCGGTCCGCGCCACTGGGCAGGTACTGGGTGCTGCGGTCGCTGCGGCTGCTGCCTGGGTTGGTGTGGTGGCATGCGTGTGTATGTGTGTGTGTGTGGGTGGAGGCCAGAACCCCGCCACTGTCATGGGGTCGTCCAATTATCACGTAACGCTTTTTCCCCGGAGCGGCGGGACCCCTCCGCACGGTAAGTCCATCTCCTGGAGTTTCCAGGATCACTCTCAGGAGGTGGTTTTACTGTGCAGTACCAGCCTGACTTTACCGGGCCAAGCTCGGGACCGTCACGCTCGGCCCGAATCGCGTTACGTGAAAAAGTGGACGATGCCTTGACGGAGGCGAAGGAAAGCTGAATTTTTTTTTTTCAATGTAGCAGCGGGTGCAGACGGAGAGGTGCTGTCCTTTGGAGTTTGCTGTCATCGTCGTTTCCAAGTTCGTCGATCATAAAAATTACTTGGGGCTCTCTTCATTTTGGGCAGTTTTCACATTTAAGAGCAAAGAATCTTGCTAAAATCAAACATGATTGATCGTAGCTGAGCCATATTTCGCCTCGTTGTGTCGTACTGACTGCTGAGGATTCATTAAACTATGACTCTCCATCCATCCGTGCCAGTTTCCTTTGTCTTGTCCGCGGGGATCGTTTTCAACAGTGCCCGTTTCGTTTCAATCGCACTAATTGCGTTTTCTCTTGCAGCTGAGCCGTGTTGCCGTTGTCGCTATTGGAAGCTATCTGTGCAATCGTGTGGACGGCCACACTGCGGCCTGTGTTGGCCGGCCCGATCCCTTTCAGAGTGAAAGTATTGCCGTGTTATCAGCGTAGAGTGTCGCCCGGCCGCACAGTGGGCCAGCCGACCGGTGGAGGCGGTCGAAATCCCGGACGCGTTTCGAGCTCCAGAGTCGCTTAATGGGACTCGAACCGAACGTGTGACCCCACCAATGGATTCCTCGTTCGGAGAGCAATCCATTGGTGGGGTCATACGTTCGGTTCGAGTCCCATTTAGCGACTCTGGAGCTCAAAACGCGTCTGGAGTTTTGGCCGCCTCCACCGGCCTTCTGGCCCACTGTGCGGCGGGCTGTCTGGCCCGGCCCAGTGAGTGCGGACTCCCATTTTGCCCGCTATCGGCAATTCCCTGTCCGCTGCGGCAGCGACCGATTCGCGCCGCCCGCATTGCTCGCTCTGTCTCTCTCGCACCCCCACTGCATTCCGTGGGAGAGAGAGAGAGACGGGGCGAGGAGTGGCGGAATGGCTCGACTGCCGGCAGCTGGCACTCTCGGAGCGGTGCAATCCCCCGGCCATCCCTGGCATGCTCGATGTGGCGTGTGCACACGATGGGCCGTGCGGCTGTCTCGCCTTGATTCTCATTCGGAAAAGTGGGGGCGTCCCCTCCCCCGGAACCCTCTCCGCGCACAGTGGGCCAGAAGACCGGTGGACGTGGCTGAAACTCTAGACGCGTTTTGAGGTCCGGACTCGAACCGAACGTGTGACCCCACCAATGGATTACTCGTTCAGAGAGCAATCCATTGGTGGGGTCACACGTTCGATTCGAGTCTTATTTAGCGACTCTGGAGCTCTAAGCGCGTCTGGGATTTTGCCCGCCTCCACCGGTCTTCTGGCCCACTGCGGGGCGGTGTTGATATGCATCCGAAGGCCAGCGAGGCGGCGCCACGCTCTCAGCGCCGCCGCCGTCCCCTCCATGTCCCTCTGCAGGGCGATACCACCCGCGCCACTGTAAAATCGGCCGTAACCGGCCTCTCCCGCTTTCGCAACAGTGTAGCCGTGTGACCGTGTAACAGCCAGCCGGCGTGTGTTTGCCTTGTAGCCCGACTGGGAGGTGCAGCGGTGCGGCGGAACGCCTGCGAGATTCGGGATAGGCAACCCGGTGAGCGAGTGTGCGCCGCGGGCCGGCCTATGGCCTCCGTCACAGGCGTTAGACTGCACCGGTCTCTCACTCACGCCTGTCCTGTGTGTCTGTCCGTCCGTCCAACAGTGGGCCAGAGCGCCGGTGGAGGCGGTCAAAATCCCAGCCGAGTTTTGAGCTCCAGAATCGCTAAATGGGACTCGAACCGAACGACTGACCCCACCAATGGATTGCTCTCTGAACGAGCAATCCGGTGGGGTCACACGTTCGGTTCGAGTCCTATTTAGCGACTCTGGAGCTCAAAACGCGTCTAGAGCTTCGGCCGCCTCCGCCGGTCTTCTGGCCCACTGTGCGCCCGTCCGTCCGTCGAGACGGCCTTAGCCTGTGACTCCGTCGGCCCCCGTGGCTGGACGCCGTGTCGTGTCCCCACCCCTCGCACCCCATGGAGAGGCTAGGCGCCAGCCACCGGGGGCACTGCCGGGGCCCAGCGGAGGCCCCGCGGGGTGTTTCATAGCGGAACGGAGGCTTTGATGAGCTGCGCGAATAAAGTCAGCACTTTCAACTAGGTTTTTTTATTCTTTTTTTTTTGTTTCCGGAGAAAAAAAAATGTTGTCTGCCTGCAGAGGCGTGGCAGGTTTGTGTGCACAGGACGGGCAGTTTGCCTAACGCTCCTTTTCGACTCAACGCGGAAATTGTACTTGTTCGGTTTTCTTTTTAGGGAAATCAAAATTAAATCGCTCTAAAAAAAAAGAGTCCCTCGATTTTATTTCGGAATGGGAATCATTTTTTTTTTTTCGGGCCTCTGAAATAATAGGAGTTACTTTGGGAGCGATTCGGGCTCGGTGCGCGCCGGGACCGGAAGTACACCGGAAAGGGCAAGCGACGAGGGGAGCGTTTTTACTCGCTCATAACGGAACAAGTAGTCGTGTCGTGAAAAGTGTCCCTCAAGACCAGACGACCGGAGGGGGGGGGGACTTTGGTATTCATTCCCACTGCTGGCGCCGCTGGCTTACTGCTCGTTGACAATGGACGGGTAAAAAAAATCGGACACGGAAAAAAAGGTTTTCAAAGCAATAAAAATTCAATGTTCACACGCACTGCGGGAAAACAAGGTGCGCACGGATTTTGAATTTTGTTTGGCACTGTCGTGGGTGTGCTTGCCACTATGTGTTGCGCGTACAGGTCCTGTTTTTGATATGTTGTGTTGCACCAGCGCACAGTGTCTGTCGTGTCTTTTTTGTTGTTGTTTTTTGTACAGTTTTATGTGCTGGTGGTAGCGGCTGCTTTTACTGTGGCACTTCGGTTCGGGTCGACAGGGAGCTCGACAAGATAATCTCTCGATGGGTGCCTCCAGTTTTAAGAAAGGGAGAATGCCTGATCCTTTTTTTTTCCCTTTCGCAGAGAGGGTTGTGTTTGTGTGTAGTTGGGGCTTTTGGGCGATGGTTGGGGCGACGGGTTTGGGGGCTTGTTGAGGGGCCTTGAGGTTGGTTGGTTGTACACGAGACGTCCTCCACAGGCCACGAGGACGAAACACCGCTTCAAGGTGCACACGTATGCCAGCCCGGCCTTCTGCGACCACTGCGGGTCGCTGCTGTACGGAGTCCTGCACCAGGGCATGAAGTGCGAAGGTAACGGGCCGCGTCGGCCGCGCCAGCCACGCCAGCCACGCCACGACCAAGCTCACTTATTTCTCACAACACACACACAGAGAAACAGACGCAGTCAGTCGGTATTGCAACTACTCTGACCAAGGGGAAATCACAGTGAATTTTGGTGTACAAATTTATTGAATTTCAGTTGAATTTTGATAAATTTCAGTCTAATTTCGATGAATTTCAGTCAAATTTCAATGAATTTCAGTCAAATTTCGATGAATTTCAGTCAAATTTCGATGAATTTCAGTCAAATTTCGATGAATTTTAATAAAGTTTATTGAATTTTAATGAATTTTATTGAATGTTACATGTTTGATGAATTTTGGTGTACAAATTTGGCTGAAGTTATTTCCCCTTGACTCTGACACTGTGGTGCACTTTTTCCTTCGTGTTTTTATTTTTTTATTTTTTTTTCGGGGGCGGCACGGCTTGATATTCTTCTCACCTCTTTTGCACCAGTGTACTTGTTTTAACGATGTCTGGACACGACGGGGCACCAAGGGGTTCTTGGCGTGGCGTGGCGAGGCGAGCGGAATCTCACCGCTGGAACCGAGTGCTCTGTGTGCCTGCCGCCTGATATGTTTGCGCGCTCATTTTTTACTTTTATTATCGTTTTTGTTCTTTTTCCCTTCTTTTTTTGGTGTTTTTGGTGTTATTGTTGTTCTTGATGTGCTTGCCTGCCTGACCGCCGCGGCCACCCGCCCACCCTCTACCACCACCACCACCACCATCTTCATCACCACCTCCACCATCACCACCACCTTCACCACGGTCATGAGGGGCCGGCCGCCAGTCCCGAGTCAGGGTGGCGAGGGGTAACCTTGGGGCGACGCGGCGCGACGCGGGGCGAGGGGCTGGCTGGCGATCGCTGGCGATGTGACCGACCAGCTGAAAAGGACTGAGCTGTATGTGTGACTGTTCGGTTCGGCCTGCAGGCGGAGACTCAGAAACACAAGTGGGAAGTGTTCTCCTACCTGACACCTACGTTCTGCGACCACTGCGGATCCATGCTGCATGGGCTCTCCCACCAGGGACTCAAGTGTTCAGGTAACGTTAGGCCTCACCCCAGGGCACAGGGCCCCAGGGCACAAGGCCCCAGAGCAGGGCCGAGGGTGCCGAGGGCACAGGCAGGGCGCAGTGACGCGGACAAGGACCGCCTTTGGAGGAGTACGTATCTCACAAACGGCTGCAGAAGTGTAGGGCCAAGAAGGTTCCGAAACGTCATTTTCAAATTTGTCTGGTTGTCCTTTGCACAACACTCGTAGTAATTATTGCCGTTTATGAGATAAGGACTTCTAAAACTGTGCACCTTGTTTCGTTACAGCAGCGAGCCCTGGCTTAGATCCAGCCTGACCATTCAATCAACTTTTAATTATTTCTTAAGGGATTCCTTTTCGATGAGACTTTTTTTCCCTGTGCTGCGTAACGTAGCTGCGTTGCGAGATGACTTTCCTCGACTTTACTTAGTCTCTTTCCCTTTGATTCCGAGATCCAGGTGGAGTGGTTGTTTTACATTATTAATGGTCAGGCTGTGGTCGTCCTTCAGAGACTCCTTCGACAGAGCTCTGTGGTCGGGGAGTTGGGGCTCTGCCTGGTGGTAGTCTGGTCCCACGGGCTTAGCAAAGGTGGTGGGTTAGCTTTCTACACAGGCCTAAATAATAATAATGATTAAATCCCGTCGCCGTTGACGTAAGTTTCCCCGTGTTGCCTCCACTTCTGCTCCTATCGCAGGACATTAGGGTGAAAGTGTGCATCACGGGAAAACTCACTCATCGGCGTGCGGTGTGCTAAATAAAGAAATTGCTAAACCTAACTCGTTCAAGTATAATTCGGCCCTCCCGATTCTTAATTTGTATAGAGATAAATTAGTCATTTAGTGTTAACGTTGCCATAACACCTTGGGTATTATGGATTACACGTAATAATTTGCCTGTACATGACGCTAATGTTTCATGAGTAAATTTGTAGATTCGCTTTTAATGTGGATATAACGGTACTGTGTCTCATTTCCACCGTGGTACTACTTTAAACGGCTTAGACTCTCTTTCAAGATTAGAAAGCACTTAAATGACGTAGAAGCACTCGTACCATTGTAGAGATTAAAACTCTTAAAAATGCTATTCCTCCGGAGGTAAGTAAAATGGATGGAACTGCGTCGGGTAATTTGTTTCGTTCGCCTTATGTTAGTTTTCTTTTTTTATGTTTTTGCTAAAAGATTACAGATATTATTTGATCTCGAAATAAACGATGATGTTCTCATATTTTATTTTATCGATAAATAAAATTCAATATTTAATATTTTCGGCGTAGTTTTGAATGTATAAACGCGTTTCGAGCGAGAGAATGCTCCTTAATCAAGTTACCCCAAACGCTGTAGTTTGCCGAGACCCCGTTTCGGAGTAGTTCAGTGTCGGGCAGTAGTTCTCTCTGTCCGGCCACTAAAATAAAACACATGGCAACTAAATCAAATAATAAAATGGCGCAGTGGCCTGTTAGCGGGTGATGTGGTAGTCCCTTGAACATAGGCTCACACAGACATAGCATTAGGACACTAAACTTCCTTCTTATCGGGGCACGATAAACAACCTATAGATCACTTTGAAGTATCTTCTCGTTTCCAGTGTTACTGGCATGCAGAATCCAAGTTAACTATCGCTCAGCCAATAAGGATACGATTCAAGGACCTGCACTCTTCGAGTTCTTTTCCAGACCTTTCTCTTAACGGGACCTACGGTGAGAAAAATGAGGGACTCCGTCTTGGTTTGGTGAAATCCTTTCTGCATGGGGATAGAAACGGTTGCTCTAAACATTTTTCAGCTGCTGATTTTCCAAGTTATTCCTATCTCTTGATCCCGTCATAATCTTAGTGGGGTGCCAGGAAGACTGTACACTCTTTTTTTTATAATTGTAGGCATAGCAAAGTTGACCTGAACCCGAGGTAAGTAGATAGCGGCGCCAGGCAAGCAGGTGAAAGTCGTACATCCTTCCCGTCAATGACATTTTATTTGGAATGAATTCTTATCTTTGCACTAATTTTAATTTACAAACCAGTCGCATTTATGGTTTTTGAACCGGCGTTTTTACCACGCGCTCTGTTTTACTGGAAGCAGATTTTTTTAAAAGGCGAGAAGCAGATCACCACTTTGATTCTGACGCAACACGCACCTCCGTCACTCTTGTGTGCACTACTATATTGATATGCCGTTTCGGGCGTAGCTTCCCCCAGGGATTTCACTGTAAGGGTAGCTTTCAGGCAATGTGGGGTTAAAGGAAATACCCTCTTCGTTGGCTTCCAAAGTACGAACAGAGAGCGTTCTTCCTGGGCTTATACTCACCATGTTCTTAGTTGTAAATTTTTGCTGTAGGTTAATTAACGCTTAGTTTACTTGTTGTTTCGCTCCCCCGTCCACCCAGAGTGAATAAAGTGATTCACTTTCGTGCCGTCCAAAACGACGGCACCTATCCCCTCTCGCTGGGCACTAGCTTTGAGTGAGCCGTTTCAACAGCAGATACTGCAAGCTGCAATCGATCCTTAGCCTTAATGAATCATATTTTTCTGCTTTTTGTTATTATTCGTATTATTATTCTTGGTGTTTGTATTATTGTTAGACTTGATGCATTGACTCACGGTAGAGTTGGCTTCTAGCTCTTCACAAGAGGGCCTCTTGTGTTGGAGTAGCTTTCCGCATACTTACTTTAAATTTGTCTCGCCTTCTCCCGCATTAGTGACGTCTGTCAAAGAGCCCCTCTAGCCCTCTAGGATCGTTGCTCTCCCGTTTCCTCCCGATAATTATCTTTGCCCAAATGGAAAAGAAGCATTAGTACCCTTCTTTGTCTTGCAGAGGGAATTCGGTGAGCTGTCTCTGACCTCATCCTCGTGTCTGTTCCAGTATGCGACATGAATGTGCACAAGCGGTGCGAAGAGAGCGTCCCCAACTTGTGCGGCTGCGATCACACGGAGCGGAGAGGCCGCATCGAGCTCAAGATCCACACCCAGGGCAGCAAGCTCACCATCGAAGGTCAGTTGCTGGGCTCCGTTGTCCACCGGGTTGCCTACACTGCAAAGTCGGTGGCAAGTTTGCTTGCCGCAATATTGGCTAGCCTTTGGGTTGTGCAGTGTTTGGCAGGACTACAAGCATAGTTTTGACAAATTACAGTGCTTCTGCTCAACCTTCAATTTTTTTTATTTGTCGCGTTTGTTTGGCGGGGGATAGTGGTGGAAACTCCTTTCTTTGGGCTAGTTTTAAAAATATTTACCCTTTTCTCTCCCTTTTTTTCTAGTACGGCAAGGCAAAAATCTGATTCCCATGGACCCCAACGGCTTGTCGGATCCTTACGTCAAACTCAAGCTGATCCCAGACCAAGATAATGTCAAAAAGAAAACCAAAACAATTCGATCATCTTTGAATCCAGTTTGGAATGAAACAATTCAATTGTAAGTATTAATGTAGTGTGTATGAATATTGTGTGTTTTGAATTAAAGTTATTAATTTGTTACTTCTACTTCCTTCAGTGACCTAAAGCAAGAAGATAAAGACCGGAGGCTTCTCATTGAGGTGTGGGATTGGGATAGGACATCCCGTAACGACTTCATGGGCTCTTTATCCTTCGGCATCTCAGAGCTCCTGAAGGCACCTGTTGAGGGCTGGTTCAAACTGCTTACTGAAGAGGAGGGTGAATTTTATAATGTGCCAGTTCCTGAGGAAGGTGCAGACTTAGCACAACTGAAATCACAAATGCGGGTAAGTAGAAAGGTTTTTAGACACCCTTGGAGTATACTGACTGAATAAATTTTACATCAATTTGAACTCATTATTTTTTTTCACTCTCCATTGTGAGCTATTAAGTTTTTCAAATGGCACACAAGTGTGTTTTGAATTTCGGTTCTTTTGCCCATACCTTTGGTCCTTGAGCGAGTAAATGTACAATAGAGGAAAAGAAAAAAAAATCCCATTGGTGTTCATACATGTGTAAAAAGAAATTTTTTGTGTGTTTTTGTTTTGAGTAGTGTATATTATTTTTGAGAACACAAACTTAGTTTAGCTCTAGTAAACAAAAAAAAATATTTGTTGTTTTTTTAGTACGTTTTTGTTTTTGCCTATTTTTGAACAATTGTGTTTATTTTGTATCGTGTCACTGGACCTATACAAGTCTTCTGCCACTTAGCAAAATTTTTTGCAGTTCATGTTTATTTTTATGTCTGTGAAGCTGTACAAATCTTGTATAGCAAAACTTCCATGTAATGCATTTTATTTGAAAAAATAATTTAGTTTTATGCCTTTACAAACATTCTATCATTTGCTTTTTGAGAATGTTCTCTTCCTTTGAGTCTGTCTTCTCATTCCTTCCACATCGGTTTTCAGTTTGCCTTTCCTTCTGGGCGCAGACCTGTCTTTCGTATCTTTTGTCTGTTCTGTTTCTCAGTACTGTATTCTAAATTTATCATGATTAAAGTAATAACTAAATACACACCCTATAAATTCTATCATCTTTGAAGCTGCTCTATGATCATTGAATTTCCTTGTATTTAATTAATGAATTTGATTCAATCTATTTGGCAGCAGTCCATCTAACCAAACCAAAGAGTATGATACATGATCTTTATAGCAAAAGGTTGCCCTGTACATAACTTTATATGCTTCATATTTTGCTCGTAAATGCATCATAACTTCTCCAATGGAATCCTTGCCAAAATGTTTAACAAAATTATTGTACGCCTTAATGGCTTGCTTTCTGCACCCACCCGTCGGTCATCCCAGGGAGCTACAATTATTAGCAAGAGCAGCCAGCTACGACAATCGGTGGGCACTAGTCTCTTTTCTTATCTGTAAAATTATCATATGACATGAGCAGTTTTTCTTTTATGAGTATGTTGCCTAATGTCAGATATAGGGTGCATGGAATAGTGATGTAAACTGTATTAGAAAAAGATTTTCGGATGGACTTACATATTATGCCATGTTTCTAAAGTATGGCTCCTAGATTGGGAATAGATACCTGAAATAGATCTTGCTGTATAAACTCATGTAGCAATTACTGCAATCTCTAGCACGCCAGAATGATGTAATTCTCTTAGAGTAGTGGAGTCAAGTCATAGACTAGACCTAAGGACTTCAATGAAACTAATGTAGTTGTGTCGAAATGACGTTTTGTTGAAATGACCACTAGTCAGCAATATGCTTTTGCCAGAATACATTTGCAATAGTGAAGTCTCAATAAAGTGCTTGCTGACTCAAATGAAAATTGTTGAGATATCTAACATTTAAAGAAAATAATCATTTTTTCTAACTAAAATAATGCTTCCTTAATGTGAATTTACCTTCATCTTCATCTCTTGTCTTTCTATCCTGAATGCTGTCTGCCTTTGTGATGTCTGCGCCCACATCCAATTAAATCGTGCCTTTCATGTGCATTCAATTAAATTATTTGGAAACTACCCTCTGGTTTAACTATCATAATTATTCCACTGATATTTGTGACGAATGACTGAAGCACTACCTACAGAACTCTGAGAATTTGGGCTTGCAATATGTTTCAACTGGAATCTGCCCCTATTTGTATTTTTGAGACAAGTTGGTAATATTTGAAATCAGAATTTACTCGTAGGTGATGCTTTATTTTAGCCAGTCTCATACAATCTTATGAATGCTTGTTTTTGAATCATTAACATGCTATGCTGTCACGAAGTACTTCTATTCAACTTAATTTGAAAAATAAGTAAATATAGCAGTAGTGCTTCCGACAGGGAATGGAGCAGTCTTTTACTGCTGTAAGTTAAATTTTTCTGTTCATACTTCTTTTTTCTTATCCCAGAAAACCTCCTTAAGTAAGAAGCCACCCATGACATCAGATAAAGAGGTGCCTCACAACATGGGGAAAAAGGACGTTATAAGAGCAACGGATTTCAACTTCCTCATGGTTCTTGGAAAGGGCAGTTTTGGAAAGGTAGGCCCTTTCTTAAATTTTTTCTTAAAAATTTTATATTTTGATCGATTTGGTTGATTTCAAAATATTGTTGTGTTGTTTTTGCTGTAGGTAATGCTGGCAGAACGAAAGGGTACAGATGAACTGTATGCCATCAAAATATTGAAGAAGGACATTATTATTCAAGACGATGATGTAGAATGTACCATGGTTGAGAAAAGAGTCCTTGCATTAAGTGCAAAGCCTCCATTTTTAGTCCAACTTCATTCTTGTTTCCAAACAATGGTAAGTACTATTTTGAAATGAAAAATATTGAAGATGGGAAGTTTCTGTCCCAAGAAGAAGTAACTTATTTGTTTGTTTGTAGGATCGCCTTTACTTTGTTATGGAGTATGTCAATGGAGGAGACCTTATGTTCCAAATTCAACAATGTGGAAAATTTAAGGAACCTGTTGCAGTGTAAGAATTTTTTTCCTAGGTTTCATGATAATATTCTCCTCTTCATTTAGGTTGTTAGTCATTTATAAATATATAATTGTTTTCAGTTTTTATGCTGCTGAAATTGCGATTGGTCTTTTCTACCTGCACTGCCGAGGCATTGTGTACAGAGATCTGAAGCTGGACAATGTGCTTCTGGACCAAGATGGTCACATAAAAATTGCGGATTTTGGCATGTGTAAGGAAGGCATTACAGGAGACAAGACAACCAAGACTTTCTGTGGCACCCCAGACTATATTGCTCCTGAGGTAAGCCACCTCAAATTGTTACAGTAATTTTTGTAGACAGCTAATAATTATCTATATCTGATGCAGTAAATATTTTGTTCCAGATAATTTTGTATCAACCCTATGGCAAGTCTGTGGATTGGTGGGCTTATGGTGTTTTGTTGTATGAAATGTTAGTTGGTCAGCCACCATTTGATGGAGAGGATGAAGAAGAGTTATTTGCATCTATCACTGATCACAATGTGAATTACCCAAAAGGGCTGTCAAAGGAAGCAAAAGACGTTTGCAAGGGAGTGAGTTTCAAAATTATGGTGACATTTCTCTTTAAAGAAGCTTTTGAAAAAAAAACAGTTGTAAATTTTTAACTTTCTCCTTCATTTTTCAGTTCCTTACAAAGAACCCATCAAAGCGTTTGGGATGTGGCCCCAGAGGAGAAGAAGATGTACGTGGCCACACTTTCTTCCGACGTATCGATTGGGAGAAGATTGAGAACCGAGAAGTACAACCACCCTTCAAGCCTAAGATTGTATGTTATTCTAGGTTTTAAATATAACTTGATAACCATATAAGTTCTTGTCATAATTCAATGTTTCGTTTTCACTCTTTCAGAAACACCGCAAGGATGTCAGCAACTTCGACAAGCAGTTCACTTCAGAAAAGACAGACTTGACACCCACAGACAAGCTGTTTATGATGAATTTGGATCAGACAGAGTTTATGGGCTTCTCATTCCTCAACCCAGAATATGTCCAGCATGTTTGAGCAGTTCTTATGTTCAGAAAATTGGATGAAGCTGGAGAAACAACATTGAAACCATGATTATACATCAAGTCGCAGAGAGAGAGAGAATGTGCTTTTCAATTTGCATTCTTTGTGTTTTCTTGCTTTGAATTGTCGGATGAAGGGTAAAGATTGCGGGGATTTGCGATGACTGATGTAGAGCTCAGTGCCCAGTTTGTGGGATTCATGGCCTCTGTAGTGAACTTGTGTTAAGATTTCATTCGAAGACCTCCTCTAGCTCTATACATTTCCCAATTTTTCCAGGGTTTTTATACTCAAAGATATAATCATTCCTATGGCGGTTAATGTAAATGAGATTCTTCTCTATTTTGCATCTGTGCTTGACATCTGTTCCATTCTCAAAATTTATTAAGACTATTGAATTTTATGAGGTCATAGAAAACAAAGCTGGGAAAAACATTCAATATGAATTATGGTAATTCCTTGTATAAAATTATCATTTTAGTTTAAATACTAAATACTTTTGTGCATCACCAAGCAACAAAACTCTTGTCAGGGAATGTTGTAGGCCATTTTATGCCTCTTGTACCTGTGCCATTTGATCAAAGTGTCTCAGTATTGATCTGTTTCTCATGTCATTTTTTGTGTACTTCGCAGCTTTGATTCTCTCTTAGCCTCTTATGTTTTAATTTTCTGATATCTAAGTATCTGATCAGATGGATGTGAATACTATCACTCATAACTGAATCAATGCTCTGTTTGTCCTGTCTTTTTACTCATGGTGTAGTTTTAATTGGCTAATTGTATGATCAATATTTTTGCTGACAGTTTAGTAGATGCCAAAGCTCGCTAGAAGCATGAGCATTTTGATCTCAAGTAGTTTTGTGCGGTGAGGGTGAGTGATGGTATGGACATAACTCAAGCTCAACTGGAAAGTGTGTCAAAAATTCTGAGGGCATTCTTGGCAGCCTTAGATCTTTAATTTGAATGGCAAAAACGATCTTGATGCTGCAAATGTCGCAATTGCTTTTTGTCAAACTCTACTTTCGATACTTTTCTTTGTTTTTGTATAACGGCCAATGAGTTAGTGCTGTTTGGGCACGGTGCTTGTAATACTTGTTACTTGGGACCTACGTACTGTACTCGAAGGTTTAATGCTTTGTTATTGTTTTGTATTCTAGAAATTTTTTCGGCCATCATTTATCTATGGGTGCCTTGTATCTTCTTAAGACTTCTGAATCTGATTGGAAACATCTTACCCCATAGCTTCTTATTTCTTTGAGGTATGTGCATGAGACAAATCATAAGTTGTATTAGCCTTGTAATACTTTCTTCATCATATTTGATAGAAGTAGATTTTTTAAAATACATTTCTTAACTGGTCATTCAATAATTTTAGGATGTAAGATATCTAGCAAAATGAACCATTCAGAAAATGTCATTTTTCGGATCATAAAACACACAAATGTCTGTTACATGAAACTCACATTGTGTTCCGGGCCAGCAACCTGAGCTCATCTTTTGCGCTGTGTTTTCTTAGCACTTGAAAAAGATGCACTCAATGTGCACTTTCAAGTGACTTCATGTCAAAGATTGCACATTGATGCTGTAGTTGTGTACTTTATTCACTTCACGTCAGTGATAATATTAGGATTTTCACAAATACTGGTTCTTACTTCCTCAAACCTTCTCAATTTGAAAAAAAAAAATTATTGTTTGACTAAAATCTTAAATCATTTTCCTGGTTTCAGTGTTAGTGTAGGATGCCTGTAGAATGTGAGGATATATTTGCATTAAGTGTGGGTGCCACTTTTGTATCAAACACATGGCCTTCTCTGAAGTTAAAAAAAAAATGGTTATCTAATCTAGTAATGCTGGGTGCTCTATTTTTGCTCTCACTTCTAATTTTAAGCTGCCATAAATCCTTCATCCTAAGTATGTTAAAGATGGTGCCTTCTTTCTCTCAGCCAAATGACTATCTTTGAGTTTGTGAGTTAGTAAATTTGATGATAGTGTGCAAATGAGTGGTGAGTTCAACTGGATGTGTGATTGAGTGTGTGGATAAAAGAGAAATCTATATGTGATTCTTCCTCTCTTTCTTTCTGTTTACTTTTAATTGTTCTCAATTTAGACCAAACACAATTGTGATTAAGATTTAACTTTCCCTCACTCTTGTATGTTAAGCACTATCTTCCCTGTATGAACTGCGATAATATTGATAATTTTATTATTTTTAGAAACAAATAGTCTATTGATTTGCACTGGAAACTGCCAATTTTATGTACTTCTTCTTTACATTCTGTTTTTTTTGAGGTTCTTAAAAATCTCTCTTTCTTCCCTGCTGTCTTGTGAACTCTACACTGATATTAATGTAGCTTTCTTTTCTGTGCAGTGTTTTGATTACTTTTAAGTTTCTTTGTCTTGAAGTTCTTCTTGTATGTGACATATCGCCATGACAGGTCGAGAATTGTGAAGTAATTCTTGTTCAAATCCATCCACGATCATAACAAGTTGTAAATTTTAGTGGCGTATTATACCTAATAGATTAATTCATCTCTGGAAGTTGTCTCATGTTGTCATCATTTCATTTTTGATTGCTTGATATGTTCACTGAAAACTAAGTCAAACGAAAAGTGATGTTTGTGTCCTGGTTCATTCTTATCTTCACTGTTTAAGCTGTTCACAATGCCTCTAAATCCTCTGACATTTTCAACAAATGAATGATGACACCGGCCCATTTCACAATTTTCCATTTTCTATTTTTGTCATTGTTGTTGTTTTCTTCATTCAGAGTCAAATAAATATGCATTTAAGCAATTTTTAGTGAACATTTCACATCTCTCTGCCATTCCTCTCTGGAGCAAGAGTTGTGGAATGGATCATCATTGCAGGTTTAATTCTGTTCCACAGTAACATTCCTAAGTTGTTAAGTGCCTTTGTTATCCCAGGAGTATATTGCATCAATGTTCGCTTCCTGTGTTTTGTTATTTATTTATTAATAATTTATTATTAACTTACTTTGTTCTACTGTTATTTGTTAGTTGTGTTACAAATGTATATTCCAACGTCAATGTGGCAATATGGGTTTCTGTATGTAATGTGATTTTCCTTTTTGCTACGTGACTAGCAGTATCCCATCAGTAACAATGATGTGCTACTTCTATGAGTTAATGTAAATATTTCTCTACAACTATGAAACAATACATTTTGAATATTCTAAACGGCCTATAATGAAGTTTATGTACAAAGTTAAGAATGGGAAAAAAAGTAAGGCTATTTTGATTCTTGTTCACACTAACTATGTCACACTTTCCTATGAAGTGCAGGGCTTTTCGTTTAGGTGAAATCGCCCTTTTAAAATTTTGATCATAAGGGTTTTGAAAACCCGGGCTTTGTTTCCACACTGAAATAGTGCGTTGATAAAATATTGTTTGTTTCATTGTTGCATGATACATTACATGATTTGTTCGACAATTGATCAATGATTGAAGTCATTTTTTGGTTCTTTTGCTTCTTGAAACATACTTACTTGTACTAGGCAAGGTCACTTACCTCCACCTCCCTCATCTCAGGATGTGAAAAACCTGAAGGGAGGTGAACATACTTTAAACTGGGAAAAAATTATTGTGTAATGTAGTAAAGAAGCAAGTGTTTTCGAACTGCACCTGTGACTTTCTGCACATAATTTTAAAAAGAAAACATGCTGTCTGTCTTTTTCCTTTTTATAATTTTGTTTTTAGAATGTTTTTAATGGAAAAGCCAATGGTAGCAACAAAAGATATTACTATAATTTATTTGAAATTCTTTTTTAAGACAATTTAAGTGCCAAGAGGCTAAGATTAATCCTTCTTTCTTGTATGTAGTTTTTTTGATAATAGCAAAATACTATTAAGAAGTTATCTAGCTTTTACAGAAATGCTCAGATTTTTTTTCTTTGAGAAACATTTGTGAAAATTTGTGATCTTGTTATTCTCTCTCATCTTGAACTGTTTCACTTTGAGTACTTGAAATTTTAATCACTTTTTATCAAAAAAATTAAAAGTGGTCCTGTTGAATTTAAACTACCTATGTGCTTGTAGTAGTGCTGAGCGTTATTTGCTGAATGGCTGTAACGTTCCACAACCCACTCTAGTGCTTTATTGGTTATGTCCAATTATTCAATAATTTTGCACCCAAAAATAAGTGTATAATGTTTCTGCACAGAGTCCATGCGAGATAAACCGAAGCGGATTTCTGTTGTATCCCTGTCCGTTTCTTTTCTTTTTTAATAATAATTCTGGATTAGATTCATCCTGATTCCACTAATGAGAGAAACTGTGTTCTTTCATTTGATGCTTCAACTTACATTCAGCAGCCTATGAGCTTCACAATGCCATAAGTCACAATATAGTTGCAAATCAAATCATCGAAAAATTTTGCTGGGAATCTCTGAGTCCCAAGTGTATGGATATCTGATTCTAGGCAACTAGTTACTCTTCCAATTCCTAGTTCTATCAAATCTCTGTATATTTCCTAGATCTGTGATAAATATATCACACATTGTTCATGTTTGTTAATCAATCTAACTATAGTCATTGCTGGTAGACTGAAAGAAAGTTGTTGCTTGAAGTAAATGGAAAGGGCATATCAAAATGTATTCCATATTTGCATAAAAAGACTAAAATTGTTTTGTGAAACTGTAAATTGTTACTGCTTTTCTTACCAATAGTACTGCTTGTCATAAAGAATACCTGGTATGCCAGCCATTATTGTGTATCATGCATTTGCCTTAATGAAGGCACAACTTGTTCACTCTATGCTTTCAAATAACTAATTACATGAACTTATGTGCCACCTAGAAGAGTTTTTATTTCTTTTTCTTTCCTCACACACTAACACTTTTGCACAACTTCCAACCAGTGCAACTGAAGCAAAAACTTAGAACCTTCCCTGCTGTGCGGAAAAAGAAATTGCAAACAAATACAAGACTGTACATCGAGAGGCGTTTCAAACTTGAGGGCGCCTTTTGCTCACAAAAGAAGGGGGCTAAGAAGCCTCGCCCCCCCGCACACAGCAGTGAAGGGTAGGGGCGGGTGGCTTGAAAGAAAAGGAAGGGGTAGGGGAGGGGGCGTGGTGGTCCATGTTGCCTCGGCATCGGGCTACAGTCGGTCGGTGTCCAAGCGGCGAGGCGGCCCCGCGACCACTCGCACCTCATTGGCTGAGCCTGGCGAGCCGAGCCCGCGCGAAGGCAAGGCAAGGCCGAGCAGCGCAGCCCGCACTCCGTGCCACTCCGAGCACGCCACGGCCACCACACTGGGCCCCGGCGACGGCGGGGACAGCCGCCGCAACAAGTACACCCTCTTGATGGACAGCTCGGCGCGCGCCCGACCGCTTCCGCGCAACACGGTACTCGGACTCTGAGCCTCCACCCCGACGCCCCGACGCCCCGACGCCCCGACGCCCCAGCGCTGCGGAGCTACAGGTATGGAAAGGCCTGGACCGCCGACTCACCGCTAACACTCTACCAAAAATGTCCTGTAAATGCCGTTAATTTATTACCAGTTTTCACTGTAGGTCAATTCACAGCGTTTACTGTGATCTGCTCACGGGATTCACTGTGATCTTGTTCGCGGTGTTCACTGTGATCTGGTCCCCAGTAAACACTGTGAGTTTGACGCCGCTAAGCACAGAAGTACTGCAAATCAGGCTCCAATTCACGGCGTTTACTGTGGCCAGATCACAGTGAACACTGTAACCGAGATCTCAGTGAACGCCGTGAACTAGTTCACAGCAAACGCCGTGAATTGCAAAACAGCAAACATTGGTAATAAATTAACGGCGTTGACAGGACATTTTTTGTAGAGTGAACCGGGTGGGCCGGCCAAGGACCTCCAGGCGCCTTCAGGAACTCCAGGAGCTACTGGAACTCCAGGACCTTGAGCCCTGAACTTTCTGGACCGAGTGCAGGGTGTGCTGTGACAGGTGTGCCTGTCACGCGCCTGTCACGGAGAGCCCTGGAGCTGGAAAAGATAGTTTTATTCTTTAACCGCTGTTGATTGGTGGCAGCAAGGGGAGGAGCCTAGTCGACTGTTGCCATGTCGCTTGTTTCCTTGCAGCCAGCTTGTCTTTACCCTTCTCTGGGGTGGGTTCGGTGTCTTCGTGGGTTTAAAATGACACATTAAAAAGTGTAACTCTCAACACGCTCACTACGAACTGAAATCAAAGGGATGGGGGAAATCGCTGCGTGTTAATGTAGTTCTGCCCTTGGCTCCTGGAACTTTATCTGCTTCTGCGGCAATGACAAACCAGGAACCATTTTTGCAGTGTGCATTGAAAGCCGTACTTCCGCTGCAAAGTGCCCGGCAGACGGTGTGTGATGCGGTCGCCCGAGAGGTGGGTGCCCCTGGCTCCCCCTCCCCCTTCTCGCGTTGCGTGCCGCGACGCAATTGTTCTTTACAGCCAATCAGTGATGGACGGCGGCATTTTTCTGCACGGGAGCAAAACGCCGGATTGGGATTGAGATTCGGGTTCACCCCGGCCGGCCACGGGCCACGGCCTTGGTCTTCCCCGACAAAGTGCGCTCTTCCCGCGGAACAGCGCGAACAGCGAGTCGCGTGAGCCCCGCAGACCGCAGCGGACGGCACGGGACAGCATTATACCAGCACACTGATTCCGAGAGTCGTTTTCACCGCTCTGTCTCTCTCGCGCCTATAGGGAACGCCGGGAACGCCCCATGAGTGCGAGGGAGACAGAGCAGCGCCGGGCACGGAGTAAGGAATCCACTTTGGCGCAGACAGCGCAACAAAGGTGCCGGCGGCACGTCGACAAAAGACTCGTCGCTGTCGATCAATGTCTAAATTCCTATCTTGGCGAGACTCTTGTTAATCCACCGACAGCACCGCTTGCCGCTTTTTCAATTTCAAACCGAAGCTCAGGACAGCAGTGCCCGCGACACGCAGTGGGTCAGAAGACCGGCTCAGGCGGCCGAAACTCTGGACGTATTTTGAGCTCCAGAGTCGCTAAAATGGGACTCGAATCGAACGTGTGACCCCACCAATGGATCCCTCGTTGGGAGAGCAATCCCGGGGTCACACGTTCGGTTCGAGTCCCTTAAATGCATTTAGCGCCTCTGGAGCTCAAAAAGCGTCTAGAGTTTTGGCCACCTCCACCCCCATACCCCCCCAGTAGAGGGTGACTGCCTCAGACAAGACACAGCCCGCTTTTGAGGTTTGCAGTCTGAGTTCTGTGTTTGTTGTAGTTGCTTACTCGAACGCTAAAGGTCTGCTGAGGCCTAACAGCGCCGATGACGACCTGTCTTCTGGCCCACTGTGTGACAGTCCACCTGCACGGCAACGCGCCTTAATTCGCCCTCCGAACACGCGCCTCGATCTCAAGTGCCGTACAGTACGACATTGTTGAGTGTTTTTTTCCTCGCTGCTAAATCTGGCACCCCAAAGAAACCCTCCAGTCCAGGGACTGTCCAGATGACCGCCAGGCAGGCAGGCAGGCCTCCGAGCATTGCGGGCTTGCCTGGTCGCGCCTTGGCGAGGAACAGCACAGGCCGGGCCTAGCTCCTTCGCCCCGAGGCACCCGAGGTGCTAAAGGGGACTCGCAACATTGTCGCACTTTGATTATGCCTGCGGTATGAATGTTTGAATGTTTGCCACTTGGCGCCAAGTTTTCTTTCAAGATAATTTTTTTAAAAGAAATGTCTAGCAGGTATACTGAAGTTATTTCTTTGCATCCGAAGATCGGAGTGCCTATTCTTTAAGAAACAACCCTTCATTCGGATAGTGTCCTGAAAACTGCGACCTCACCACTTGAAAAAAAATCTTTGAGTGGGCGACTTATTGCAGTGTGTGTTTCCATTGGCTTTAAAGCGCCGCGCTCCGCCTTTAGCCCATAGGTCATGGATTGGGTTCGGGTTCGGCGAACGTCCCGGTATCTCACAAATCGCCACAAATCCCCCCTGTAATCCACACTCTCTACTCTGCCTCCACGCGTTCCTCTAAAGTCGGCTCGGCGGCGTGGAGGATCGCGGATCTAGATGAATTGTCTGCCAGAGACAGATAATAAGTCGAAGGGTGTTAACCAGGCGCAGCCTTCGCGTGTCCGCACCGTGCCCCCACACCGACTCATTACTTGGTGCGGGAGGTGTTAACAGTGTCTGGCCGACGATCCACCGCGGAGCCTCGGGGCAGCGGCCTCCCGACGTCCCGCAGAAAACGATGGCAATATCGCGCGTGTCGAACAGATTCGAGCGTTTATGTTTCTTACCGCCGCCCCGCTCCACCAAAAAACGAGCCTTATGTCACGGCATTTTTCAATCAGTGTCATTGATGGCACGCCGAGCCCCCTTCCCCCCCCCCACC